ACCAGAGAACACAAATGCAAAAATCTAAATAAACATTAGCAAATCAAAGAGGAATATCCCAACAATGATACCTCATAATCATATATAATCACATACCCCAAGAATGTGAAAGTGGTTCAACATCAGGGGGGAAAAAGCATCAATACACTACCAAAAAGAAAGGAAGAGGCCAAGCACAGCAGCTCACGCCTGTAAACCTAGCACTCTGCAAGGCTAAGGCAGGAGGATTGCCTGAGCTCCGGAATTTGAGACCTGCCTCAAATTTCTCCAAATTCTGAGCAAGAGAGAGACACCATCTCTACTGAAAATAGAAAAATTAGCTAGGCACTGTGGCAGATGCTAGGAATTTGAAGTTGCTGTGAGCTAGGCTGATACCATGGCACTCCTATCAAGCCTGGGTAACAGAGTGAGACACTGCCTAAAAAAATTAAAAAGAAGAAAGGGAGAAAGAAACTCCATATACGTAACTTGCTAGTCATTAGTACCATCCCTTTTCAAGTTAAGCATGGACATGTAACTTGTTTGTGCCAATAAATTTCAATGAAAGTCATTACTTTTCTAATAAACCAGCACCAATCACCCCCTGAAACTCATGATTGTTTCTACTACGTACATGTTATTGAGCATGGTGCTCATTTCTACCGTAAGTTCTTAACCGAAGGTTCATATACTGACTGCATATATCTGTAAACTCCCTAAAATTATAATCCTCAAACAGTTTCCCAATGCACAGATTCCTAAAATCCATCTCAGGCCTACTGGATCGGAATCTCTTAGAGTTAGTTCAAAATCTACATGCTTATCAAAGGCATGATAAAAAATACATAAAAATGTTAGAGGGTTTATGACTCAAAAAGATTAAGAACCATGGGACTTCCAGTCTGAGCCAAAGTGAGATCCTGTCTCTAAAAATAACTGGGCTTGGCTTGGCGCCTATAGCTCAACCGGCTAAGGCGCCAGCCACGTACACCTAAGGTGGCGGGTTCAAATCCCCAGCCCAGACCTGCCAAAACAACAATGATGGCTCCAACCAAAAAGTAGCCAGGTGTTGTGGTGGGCGCCTGTGGTCCCAGCTACTTGGGAGGCGGAGGCAGGAGACTCGCTTGAGCCCAGGAGTTGGAGGTTGCTGTAAGCTGTAATGCCACGGCACTCTACCCAGGGGGACAGCTTGAGGCTCTGTCTCCAAAAAAAAATAAAATAAAATAACTGGGCTTTGTGGCAGGCACCTGTAGTACAAGCTACTCAGGAGGCTGAGGTAAGAGAATCACTTGAGCCCAGGAGTTTGGGATTGCTGTGAGATTGCTGTGAGCTATGATGCCACAGCACTGTACTGAGGGTGACAAAATGAGAAAAAAGGGGGAAAAAAAAAAGAACCAGAGATTAACATCATACTCCTGCAAATGCTGCTTATATCCACAAACACAGCTCATCCTAAAAGTTACACTGGTAACAGTGTATATGCTGGTATATACACAGGTATATGCTTCTATCATACAATATTCTTCCTATAAGGGCCCATGGGAAATATTCACTCAAAAGTTATCAGCAATGCTTCTCTCCTAAACAGATAAGTTTGTTTTTGCTTTATAGACGTAAATAAATCATGTAGGTAACTTTGCTCTCATCTCAGAAGTGGCTAATGAGAAATTCAGAGTCCTATTTGTGATCCTCTGGCATACATACTTTGTGTACTAACCTTGTGTGGTGGCTTCAAATTATTTCCCCTGCTTTTATTATTTTCTGTAACCCTCATTTACTCTTTTACTTTGCCTTCTGAGAAAAAGGTATGAAAATAAATAAGAAAGAACAATGCAAATCCTTTCTTTACTATGATACAGAAAATCGGAATTCAGAATATCCTGTTAACAAGGATCATTTCTAATTTCAACTAAGTCTATTTCCATGAGCACTTCTGATGATTTATAAAATTAAACACAGTGTTTAAGTCCTCTATTTAGTGATGTCCAATCATACTAGAAGAAGAAGAGTTGTCTTGGACCACACATTAAATACACAAACACTAAAGAAAGCTGGTGAGCAAAAAAAAAAAAAGGTCTACGCATAGTATCATGATATCTGCCACTAAGGAAAAGCAAAAAAATCTTCACATAATCTGCATGTGCCCTGTGGGCTGCAGGTCAGAATTCCCTGAAAGGTACAGAGGACTAGAGTAACTAGGTACTTCAGATAACTACTAGTTTGGCTCTGAAATCTCCTAACAGATACAGCTTAACAACAGGAAACACATTTATGTTCTGTCTGATGAAACAAGATTAACTACAGGCTCAGCGCCTGGTACCTGTAGCACAGTGGTTATGGCTCCAGCCACATACACGCAGGCTGGCTGGTTTGAACCCAGCCCGGACCAGCTAAACAACAATGAGCAACTACAACAAAAAAATAGCTGGGCATTTTGGTGAGCGCCTATAGTCCCAGGTACTTGAGAGGCTGAGGCAAGAGAATCGCTTAAGCCCAAGAGTTTGAAGTTGTTCTGAGCTGACACCACGGCACTCTACCCAGGGGAACATAATGAGATTCTGTCTCAAAAAAAAAAAAAAAAAAAAGGTTACCTACAGAAACCTTTTCCCTTGTTCTTCATTTTAACCGGGATTTTCTTACTTGATTTTTTTTTTTTTTTTTTTTTTTTTTTTTGAGACAGAGTCTCACTATGCTGCCCTTGGTAGAGAGCTATTGCATCACAGCCCACAGCAACCTCCAACTCTTGGACTCAAGCAATTCTCTTGTCTCAGCCTCTCAAGTAGCTGAGACTACAGGCGCCCTATACAACACCTAGCTATTTTTTGTTGCAGCTGTCATTTTTTTGTTTGTTTGTTTTTGTTTTTTGCGGTTTTCTTTTGGCAAGGGCTGGGTTTGAACCCACCACCTCCAGCATATGGGGCCAGCGCCCTACTCCTTGAGCCACTGGCACTGCCCGCTGTCACTGTTGTTTAGCAGGCCCAGGCTGGGTTTGAACCTGCCAGCCTCAGTGTATGTGACTGGCACTATAACCACTGTGCTATGGGCACTGAGACAATAATTGAATATTTTCTATCACACTTTAAAAAATATATATATATGTGTGTGTGTATATATATATATATATTTTTTTTTTTTTTTTGAGACAGAGCCTCAAGCTGTCCCCCTGGGTAGAGTGCCGTGGCATCACAGCTCACAGCAACCTCCAACTCCTGGGCTCAAGCGAGTCTCCTGCCTCAGCCTCCCAAGTAGCTGGGACCACAGGTGCCTGCCACAACGCCTGGCTATTTTTTTTGGTTGCAGCCATCATTGTTGTTTGGCGGCCCGGGCTGGATTCAAACCCACCACCTTAGGTGTATGTGGCTGACACCTTAGCCACTT